AGGATATGATTCATCTCTGCCTGGAACGTCGCTATTGCGTTGCAGAGTCCGAACGGCATCACCACGTGTTTGTAGGAGCCGTATCTGGTACGGAACGCCGTTTTGTGGACCGAGTTGTCCGCCATCTGCTCTGACAGTAACCTGACCGTAGATCCAGCTTCGAAAAGAGTGTTGCACCTAGCAGTTGGTCCAATAGGTCATCTTTGCGCGTTATAGGATATTTCTTTTTTACTGTTTGTTTGTTTAGTGCGTGGTAGTCGATGCACATCCGTAAACTACCGTCTGGTTTTGGAGTGAAGAGAAATGGTGCACCGTAGGGAGAGGTGGATGGGCGGATCAGTTGTCTGTCCAGTAGATACTCTGTCTGCTTCTTCATGTCTTTCAGTTCTGTCGGGCTCAGTTGGTAGGATGCACGTGAGACGCGTTTCGCCCCTGGTTCCTCCACGATCTCTTGCTCATGGGTGCGTGCTGGAGGTATGCCTGCAGGTAGGTCGTCGGGCATTATATCCTTGTACTGCTCCAAGACCTCCTTCACTGCTGCGGGTAGCTCTGTGTTTGGCTTCTCCTCCTTTGTTGCTGCCATATCTAGTGCTAAGTAACCCGTGTTACTCTTGTTTACCGTCTGTTCGAATCGTGCCAGTGTCGTTCTAGGAACGCTCCCTGTATCCGTCTAGCTTTGCAGCTCCACTCGTTTCCCATTATTGTAGATGCACACCTTCCTGTTGACCCAGTTGATCTCGGGGTTGAACCGCTTCAAGAAATCTCGCACCAAGATGAAATCTAAACCCTTGATGTTCGTGATCGGCAACGTCGGCATCCACCTCAATGCCCCTATGTGCAGCTGCAGTGATGCTTCGCCGTGGATGGGAAGTTTCGTGCCGTCCACCATTGTTGCTGCGAACTTGGTCTCCTCTGAAGGTTCTCCAATTTTCTTCAACGTCCCGCGGTCACACACCGAGTGAGATGCACCGCTGTCCACCAGTGCCTGGAGGCGTCGTCCTTTGCATGACACATCGAGGAGTAGTGGTTCCTGCTGCGCTGAGTAGCCAAAGAGGGTCTCATTGATAGGATCATAGGGTACATCAAAGATATTACCATCCCTATTTCCTATACCTGACTCAGCACTTTCCAACTTCACTTGAGGGGTATGAGGTTTTTTCCGAGGCTTGTACAACTTCTCATGAGCCTGAAATTTCCCTCTAAGCCTTTCCAGTTGTCTAGGCTTCACCTGTGGGCAACAGGGAGCCTTAAAACTGTGCTTCGGGGAGAGAATATTAACTCCACGGAACGCATGACCCTTTTCTACACTCCGTAATGCTTTGCCCAACTTCTAGGGTACCTGAATAATATCTAGAGGCCTTTTCTTGGCCTCTAAATCTCCCCTGAATTTTTCAAAGGCTTGAAAACCACGAGAAGCAATATTTTTCATTAGAGTATTGACCTTGGTGTACTGCACAACCATCTTGGCTTGGAAATCGCATGGGACAGAGAAGAGCGCACCATCATTCTGACTCAGTCACAGATGGTGCAGCACATCAGTGGTTCAGCTTCTAGTTCTCCACCACATATCCCATCCCTCTTGTTGTTGAACGCATACCCATTGCCCCCATTTTCGACAAGCCGGTTGAGCCTGGTGTGCACTACGTAGAGCTTGTAGGTTGCCTCATGTACATGATCACATGTATACGACCAGACCTCGCCTATCCTCTCAGCGTCCATTACTCGCTTCATTGCAACAAGGAGACACCGTCAGGTTCAATGGACGGCTGCTAAGAGGGTATAATACTAGGCGACCACATAAGGCATGGGGCTTGTGCTTGGAGGGACCCGACCAGTGCGATTTTTCGGGCATTGTGATTTGTCGTGGGCGGACGACAAGCAAACCCGCAGGTCGATCCAGGGTTATTGTTTCAGCTTGGGCTCTAAAGCTCTGTCGTGAAGGTATACTCGGTTATCATCTGTGGCTTCGTCTAGTGCTCAGGCTGAGATGCTATGACTGCTTAGGAGCTCTGCTGGCTGACCTTCTTGCTCACTGACCTAGGTGAGAGGCCTAGCTCTGCACTGACCATGTTCGACAACAAGGCATGGTCTTCATGTATCAAGAGCCTCGACTGGAGAGCAGAGTGAATCACATCGATATACAGTACTTCCTGCTGCAAGTGCTGCAGCAACGCTGCCATGCACTCCCTGTTAACGGGAATGAAGTGTTGGCCCCGCCCTCGCTTGGGCGACGCCGATGTCCTGTTCGGACGTACAGGAGAAGCATCCGACCGCACGCAGTGAGGGAGCCGCTCGACGGGCTGCGTCGAGCTGCAGGGGATCACTGTGGTGTTGTCGTCGACCAGGGAGCTCGAGAGCCTTCTTCTGTGGAGCAGGTCGATGTGGTGGTCGTCGACCTGCACAGAACTGACGCGGGGCTGGAGCCGTAGACTAGGGGAGCTCGACAGCTGCAGCTAACTGGGTTGGTCGACGGATGGGCCGTAGACCAAGAGGGTCAGCTCGACAGGCTGCGGGTGACCAATGGGCAGCTGTCGAGGACTGGAACTGTGGTCGACGAGGGAGGCGTCGAGCAGAGCACTGGGTGGTCGACCAGGTCCACCGGGTAACGTTCTCGGCGAGTTTTGCGAATGCACGCGAACGTCGTCGAGGACACGGTGACGAAGGCCACTTAGGGATGGTATCCCGAAGTCAATGTGGCTCGTCAGGCGCAGACCAGGGCCGACGGATGCACAACGGTGCAAGTCGGGCCAATCGTATGCGGCCACATGCGGACATGTGCACTGCTGTCTTCTATGGATGCAACGCTGGACAGCTGCTCTGCTGCAGCGTTGGCACGCCGTCGACCTGCTGTGTTCGCAAGTCGCCTTTCTGCAGTGCTAGCGTGGCTCCTCTACGCAACGCTAGCAGGAGGTCGGCCAAGCTGTACTAGAGGTCGACCAGGCTAGGTGCAGAGTTGCTAGGTGACTGATGTAGTCATTTTTGTCATTTCTTGTTCAATTATTCTGTCATGCGATCTTTGGGGAGTGGAAACTCTTGCCAATTTCTCCTGTGAATGTGCAAATGCTAAGGAACTACGCAAAGCTACGATCACTCCTAGACGTTCGTGCCAACACCCCATAGTCTAGCTCACGACCATTATAGAGTTACTCTCTGCACTCCCGTCTGGTGATCACCACAGGTTTTGCTCACATCTCGGCCTTGTTCAAACACGTCCTTATTTGCTATAGACTTGCCTCTTGCTTCTTGCTTTGCTGGTAATTGTTGTCTATATACATGAGAATTATGAACTGGCCTTGTGACAGCTTGTCTCAGAGGCTGGCTAGTCGTACCGCCTTGAGATGCATCTCTTGCTTTGTCGCTATTCTTGACTGGTCTTATAACCATGTGTTTCACTTGCTCGTTTTGATGACCCTCATGGGTGGGGTTGTGCCAATTCATATTTATATATTTGTTAGATATGTTAGGCTACAGTGAGGCACATAGCAAAGAGTACAATCCATTTTGTGGTAACCTTCATGACCCTTCCGCTCTATTCTTGAGAAGAGGCTCATACTCGTTGGGCCATAATGCATGCCAAGATCTTTTTTGTTTTAAAGCAGCAGTATACATTCGAAAGTATTGTTGGTTTAGAACAGTACACACTAATGAGGAAGCCCTAATGAAAACCAACGGGGTTGGCGAGAGGATGGACGAAAATTTGGAGGCCTGGTAGTTTCGAACATGAGAAACACTCCCGTCATCCAGCCCCTCAAGTGACTCACAGACTGAAGGATAAACAACTAATTTAATCGACAGGCCTGGATACAACTATACCAATGGCGCCTAATCGGCGCGAGGAGCAGCGCTACCACTAAAAAAAATGCGCTTAGTAAGGGGACACTTGTCACATTGCTGGCTGGCGCGATTATGGTATACACTCGTTGAGAGGCATCTCGATAGATGTTTAAATAGCCTTCGGCAAGGCGCGCCACACTCGATGCATTGCCCTCGCTGGCGATATTCTCGCCGAACCCGCAGCTCCCGACACCCTCTTAGCGCGTCACCTCACCGCTAAGCGCCTCACGGCATAGCGCCTCATCGCTTAGCCTCACCGCTTAGCGACGCACCGCTACGCGCCTCACCCACTGCAAGTGCTCACAAGTTTTTAGCGCAGGCGAATGCTTCTTGTGTAACCCATAGCTCGCCTTGTTTAGCACGTCATTGGCTTCACGCTCACCCTCTACTGGCCTCACCCGCTCCTCGCATCTCTGCGCGAATGTCTAATTCGCCTCAAATGCGCGCGCTCCGCGAGGCGGTCGCCTAATTCGTCTCTCATTCGTCTCATTCGTCTCTCATTCGTATCATTCGTCTCTCATTCGTCTCATTCGTCTCGCATTCGTCTCTCATTCGTCTCATTCGTCTCATTCTTCTCTCATTCGTCTCATTCGTCTCATTTGTTAGAGGGCCCTACGACAGCAAGGGCCCTCGACGATGTGCATTGACTTGGCAGGTCGATGAACGACCAAGACTATACGCGGCCGTGCACCGACCCTATGACTTCGAGATGGCTGACGGCGTGTGACTATGACGGCGCTAATGAAGTCACTATTGGGGTGGTGCTAGCTTAGGGAGTCGTGGGCATGCTTCCTGGGTGGTCTTGGTAGTTGTGGGTGATTCACTGTGAGTCTCGCCATTTCTAGTTGTGCTGGGAGAATTGGCGAGCCCGGCATCGACTTCCCTGCTGAGTTGGGTTGGGAAGTTGACAAGGCGCGTTCGCTCACCCACACACCACTTTCGTGGGGTTGGGTTACTCCGCCGCGCCACGCCAAATTTGTGAAACCTCCCCGTAGCCTATATCTATCTTGTGTGTTTGCTTTTGTATTCATATTTGATATTGCAATTCTACTTGGGCCAAATGCTACTTTAATTCTCACTAAGTCCTTAGAGGCAAACGCTACCAAAACTCTACCAAGTTGCTGGCACAACATTGTTCCCATAGCAGAAACTCTCTCGCTATCGCTATGCTCTCAAATATATTCCTTCATCATTCATCTCTCAATCGCCTCATTCGTCTCATTCGTCTCTCGTTCGTCTCTCTTTTGTCGGCAACGCACTCTCCCACTCGTCGAGCAGGCCAAATTGCCACCGTTGAATGGGCGTGTTGCCATGATTGCGGGAAGCCCGTCGTCCAACCTCCTTTCTCGGACCCCTCATGTCCCCTCCCTCTTCCCTCATTTCTCCCCCTTCTCCCTCACATTTCCCCCACTACTCCTCCTCATTTTCCCCCCTTCTCCCTCTCATTTCCCCCGCTACTCCTCATTTTCCCCCCTTCTCCCTCTCATTTCCCCCACTACTCCACATTTCCCCTTTCTCTCCATCTCATTTTCCCCCCTTCCTCCTCTCATTTCCCCCCCTGCTCCCTCTATATTTCCCCCACTGCTCCTCCACACTTCCCCCTATTTCTCCCTCTCATTTCCCCCCTTTATCCATCTCATCCCCACCCCGTCTCCCCCTCATTAGCCCCCCTTCTTCCTCTCATCCCCTCCCTTGCTCTATTTCCCCCCCTGCTCCCCCTCGTTTCCGCCAGCTCTCCCCCACTTCTCCCCCCCAGTTCTGCCGGCTTCTCGCGTCACCAGCAGAACGCGTCTCCAGCTGCTCGCATGTCCCTAAACCCATCACACGCGCTGCGAACCGCGAGCCTCGCACGCCATTTCTCCAGTTCCCCACTTCGCCCTATTGCTTCCCCTGGTGCTCACCCCCGTGCTCAAGGTGAGTCAGCCATAAACTTTCCCCCCTCGCTCCCCCTCATTCATATGGTTGGGTCCATCTCATTCCCCCTTTCCCTTCCCTTCCCTTCTCTGCCCCTTCCAACCTTCACCCGAAGTATGCGACATGGCCTTATCAGGCCCCCTCCATGCCCTCATTCCCCCCTCTCCTTCCCCTTATTTCCCCTGCTGCTTCTCCTCGTTGCCCCCTCTCCTTCCCATCATTTTCCCATCTGCTTCCCCTCGTTCCCCCCTCTCCTTCCCCTCATTTCCCCCTCTGCTCCCCCTCGTTCCCCCCTCTCCTTCCCCTCATTTCCCCCTCTGCTCCCCCTCATTCCCCACTCTCCTTCCCCATATTTCCCCATCTGCTTCCCCTTGTTCCCCCCTCTCCTTCCCCTTATTTCCCCCTCTGCTTCCCCTCGTAGCCCCCTCTCTTCCCTTTCATTTCCCCCTCTGCTTCCCATCGTTCCCCCCTCTCCTTCCCCTTTTTTCCCCCTTTGCTTCCCCTCGTTCTCCTCTCTCCTTCCCTATATTTCCCCTTCTGCTTCCCCTTGTTTCCCCCTCTCCCTCCCCTCCTTTCCCCCCATGCTTCTCCTCCCTGTCCCCCCTGCATCCCCTCCTTTCTCCACCTGCTTCCCCCCCTTTCTCCACCTGCTTCCCCTCCTTTCCGCTCCTGCTTGCCCTCCTTTCCCCCCCTGCTTCCCCCCTTTTCCTCCATGGCATCCCCTGCTTTCACCCCTTGCTTCCCCCCTTTCCCCCCCTACAACCCCTCCTTTCCTTCCCTTGCTTGTCCTCCTCTCCCCTCCTGCTTCCCCTCCATTACCCCCCTGCTTCACCTCCTTTCCGCCCCTGCTTCACCCCCTTTCCCTCTCTGCTTCTCCCCTTTTCCCCCATGGCTTCCCTTCCTTTCCCCCCCTGCCTCCCCTCCTTTCCCCCCATGCTCCTCCTCCCTTCCCCCCCTGCTTCCCCTCCTTTCCCCACCTGCTTACCCTATTTTGCACCCTCCTTTCGCTGTATGTCCCCCTCTGCTTGCCTCAATGCCTCTCCACCCCCTTACAACCCAATCAGCTTCTTCGAGCTTGCTTATTCTCTGTCCTCCCTTTTTACCTTGCTTATGCTCCATCCTCCCCTTGCTTACCCTCCCTCTTCCCCTCTACCCGCTCTTTCCACTTTCCACCTCTAGTACCGTGTTTACTGCCTTCCCTTTCCATTCTGAGGGCGCTCGAGTGCAGCATGGAACAAGAGGACACAAGTTTCCTTCAGTCTAGGCTTGCATATGCTTCCGCAATCCCCCTTCTGCATAGGGTAAAGCACATTGGAACAAGGGTTTGGAAAGAGAAGTGCGGGCAACCAAGATCAGGATACACTGTGCTACTCGGGTCCGACGAGGTAAACACTCAAGGATCTTAGGCCCGATAGATTGGAGTTGGGTCGACGACATCATGAGGGACTGGGATTGTATGTCGTGTGACGTTGCAGAGAAGGGGGGACCTAAGGATACTGCCGTCACTGCTCCATCCACAACGGAACCACCCACCAAGCGACCGTGTACCACCAATTAGGGAACTACAGCATATCGACGTACCATGTTTGATGAGTTCGTGCAATTGTGTGACCCTCAGTGCCCTGCCCACATGTCGTTTAATTGTATTGGTCCGGGGTGAAAGTTACAGACCAATGGGTATTCTCCGATTCCATTCCATTTTCCATGCAGGAAACGTCTCAAACGTTCGATAGGGCCATCCCTTATGGCAGCCATGAATTTGAGGTGAGGGCAGGGGGGAGGTGAGGGGCGGTGGAAGTTGCGGGGAAGGGGAAGGGGGTATGGGAGGGGGAAGTTAGGGGAGGGGGTAGATAAGGATACTTTGAAACTCAGAGCTAGACGCGCCTCTGCACGTTCTCCTCACCATATTGTCCTCACCATATCACCATTCGCCTCTGCACAAAATCAGAGCTGAACGCCCCCCACAGAGTTGAACCGGAAAGTTGGTGAGGGGCAGGGGGGAGGCAGAGATGGTTAGGGGGAGAGGGTGAGAGTCAGGGGGAGGGCAGAGATGGATTGGGGGAGTGGGTGAGGGGCAGACAGCAAACCAGAGGAGGTAAGGGAGAGCAAGTGAAGAGCAAAGAAGGGACAGAGGGACAGGAACGTAGACAAAGAGCAGGAAGGAGAGGGCAGGAGACCGTAAAGGTACGGGATGGGATGGCTGGGGTGGAAAGGTACGGGTGCTGAGAAAGAAGGGGGGAGTACTCACATCTAAACGACCAGAACCGGGGGGTGGGTGAACGAGCCCCATCACTTTTCCCTCACCACCGCTCCTGCATTCTTTTCTCTCCCCTGAACGCGCCCCTACAGATCTCCCTCCGCACCTCTTCCTCCCCTTTTCCATTTTCTGCTGCCCCCTCTTGTTCCCACCCCTCATATGCAGAGCTGAACGTGCCTCTACACACACGCAATCACCTGCCTCCCCCACCCGAAGGTGCCGTGGCGCCAGGGTCGCAGTAGCCTCTCTCTGCCCCTTCCTTGCCTGGTAGCCTCACTCCAGCCCCCACCGTCTGCCCTCCTGACCAAGCCTCTGCTCTGGCCTACACGGACCTGAATGTTGTGCCAGGAATTGGTTTGGAATTAGGCTCGGGTGCAGGCTTGGATGCACGCTCCGGTGGAGGCGTGGGAGGGAATGATGGCGAGGATGGTGAGAGAAGCGGGCGGGTGGACAATGAGAAAGGAGTGAACTAGGAGACGAGAGAGGAGGACAAGGGAGCAGACGCCAAGAGGGCGGAGGAGGAAAGGAGAGTGACAGAGGGGCAAAAAGTTGTGCGGAGGCTGCAAGGGAGGAGGTGTGCATAAGGACTTTTGGGAGACGATTGATAATGAGGTGAGTGAGTGTGGAAGCTGCTGCTGTCTGCTCGTGGTTTCTGCATCTGCTCATTACTTGGGTCTGCATCCCATGTGTGCGTCTGCCCATCGCCTTCATCGCTCACAACATCCTCTCCGACATCAAACTGCGCTTCTCTATTCACAGAAAACCCTCCCACCCCCCTCTTTGTCCCTGCTTGCCCATCAGATCAACTCTCTCTTTCTTCCCCGCCTCTGCCCACCTCTCAACTGCCCCTCCCCACTAGAGGCCCCTCCGCCTCTGCACTTCCCCCCACCCTCTTAGCTCCTTCTACCATGCCTCTTCCTCTCACACCTCCTCCTCTCACGCCTCCTTCCAACGCCCTTCCTTCGTTTCTTCATCCCTCTACGCCACTCGGCCCTAAACCCTATTGCCACCCCGCTATAATTGCTGCATATCCCCTCTCTCGCTGCACCCCCCGTGAACCTCTTGCACTCTGCACACACTTCCGCCCCTATAGACCCTCACACACTCACACCCACCACCCACTCCAGCACACACCCGCTGTGCACATGCACACACGCTCTGGCCATCACGGTTCACCTAGCACTCTCACTCACTCCCAAAAACCAAACATCAAACAGCAGACGAAGGAGGGGCAGCAGGAGGAGGGGCAGCACAATCAATCATATTTCTGTGCACCATTTGGATAAGCAAGCACTGCACTGTCAGCCATTGAGCGCTTGTGGTGGTGCTGCTGGTAATACCGCCCGTGGTGCTGGTGGGCGTGGTGGGAATGGTGATGGTGGATCGTCTGGTGGGGCCGGGAGATGGCGGTGCAGGTTGCCTCAGCTGTAGCAGTCAGCATCAGCCGTAGTCATCACTGCATCTACACGTGTTCACGTGCAATGCTACTAAGCATGTCAAGCACTAAACCCGCGAACGCGGTGCGGCTGTTTTTTTAATAGTAGTGACGGGAAATGGAGCAACTCGCGCCCCCATGGCAAGAAGCGAAGAGTTGGAACAAGAAATGCTAGCCAAGTACCAGACCTGACTACACAGATAGGGCTATTTCCTTGATCTTATTATCATTTTGGCCAACAAATGAGTGAAGGGAAGAACTCATATGTCCATTGCGGCAAGTCGTCACTGATAAACCTTTACTCTCTAGCAAACAGTCAGTAAATCGCAGACTCCTGCGTCTCCTGCTTGACAATTGTCCTATGTCTACCATCGAATGACCTCATGCCAAAATCAATCTCTTCAGGGATGCAGGTTGAACCAGTCCACATCACGTTGACTGCAGTGTCTGTAACCCTCGCCCGTTGGCTCAGGGTAAAGCGATCCTATCACGACGTGGATTAGCCATGGCAAAGTCACATGTGCAAACAAATGATCACCTAACAAGGCGGAGTACTTCATGTAGCAACGGAAACGATGGTTCTTAGCGGTCATAGGTTGACCTTCAGAATCCTCATCCATGTTTTTTCCCAAGCACGGGCGGTCAAAGGGGTGAGTGAGCTGGTGGGGAAGGGAGAGGAATAAGAGGGGACGGGGGAAGTGCAGAGAGGGTAAGAGGAGCAGGGGATGAAAACTGAGCAGGGAGGAAAAACAGGAATAGAGGGGGAAAAGAGGAGCAGTGGGTGGAAAGGAGCGGAGTTGGGAAAGTTGAGAAGATGGAGAAGGAGGAGCAGAGGGGGGAAATAGGAGAAGCAGGCAGTGAAATGGTGGGAAGCAGGGGCGGAGATGAGGGAGGAGGAGGAGTGGCGGGAGGACGAGAAGGCATGGTGGGAGGAGGAGGAGGCATGGTGGGAGGAGGAGAAGGCATGGCGGGAGGATGGGAAGGCAAGGCGGGAGGAGGAGAAGGCCTGGCGAGAGGAGGAGAAGGTGTGGTGAGAGGAGGAGAGGGGGTGGCGAGAGGAGGAGAAGGCATGGAGGGAGGAGGAGAAGGCGTGGTGGGAGGAGGAGAAGGCATGGTGGGAGGAGGAGAAGGCATAATGGGAGGAGGAGAAGGCATGGTGGGAGGAGGAGAAGGCATGGTGGGAGGAGGAGAAGGCATGGTGGGAGGAGGAGAGGCGTGGCAGGAGGAGGAGAAGGCATGGTGGGAGGATGGGAAGGCATGGTGGGAGGAGGAGAAGGCATGGTGGGAGGAGGAGAGGCGTGGCAAGAGGAGGAGAAGGCATGGTGAGAGGATGGGAAGGCATGGTGGGAGGAGGAGAAGGCCTGGTGAGAGGAGGAGAAGGCGTGGTGAGAGGAGGAGAGGGGGTGGCGGGAGTAGAAGGAATGGCGGGAGGAGGAGAAGGCATGGTGGGAGGAGGGGACGGCATGGCGGGAGGAGGAGAAGGCATGGTGGGAGGAGGGGAAGGCATGGCAGGAGGCAGGGAAGGCATGGCGGGAGGAGGAGAAGGGACAGGGTGGTACGGAGAGGGAAGGGAAGGGTTGGCAAATGAGGGCAAGCAGGGGAGAGTTGAGGGCAAGCAGGGGGAGAAATGCGCTCGTGCAAGGGGGGAAATGAGGCGTACAAGGGAGAAAATGATGGTGTGCAAGGTGGAAAAACGAGGGCAAGCAGGGAGGGAAAACGAGGGCGTACAGGTGGGGAAGTGAGGGCGTTCAAGGGGGGGTTTTGAGGGCGTGGGCGGGGGATGCGGAAGCACAGCCGTTGCAAGAGAGTGAGAGAGGGCCGAGCCCCATATTCGAGTGCGGCTCGCGTGACGCGGAGAGGCAGCGAGGGGAGGCAAGGTGCTGCCGACGACGCATGCTTATTTCCCCATGCGCGGGAAGGCAAGAGGAGGACACGCATAGAGGTGAGAGGAGGCCGCGCGGGGAGGCGAGAGTCGCACGAGCGGGGAGGCGAGAGGAGAGCGCGGGGCGGCAAGAGTCGCGCGCGCGGAAAGACGAGAGGAGAACGCGAACCGGGAGGCGAGAGGAGCACGCGCGGCAAGGCGAGAGGAGGCCGCACGGGGAGGCGAGAGTCGAGCACATGGGGAGGCGTGAGGAGGCCGCGCGGGGAAAGCGAGAGGAGAGCGCGGGGATGAGAGAGGAGCACGCGCGGGGAGGCGAGTGGAGAATGCGTACCGTGAGGTGAAAGGAGCAGGAAAGGGTAAGTCGAGAGGTTACGGAAAGGGGATTTCGGGCGGCATGAAGGTTCCAATTGGACAGTGGGAAGGGGAACTCGGGCGGCGAGAAGGGGAGATGGGGTGGCGGGAAGCGGAGGTCGGGCGACGAGCGGTCGATGGTGAGAGACGAGCGAGGCCTTGCTTCCCCCTTCTCACCGAATATTAAGCTAGTGGATGCAGGGGCGCGTACACACACTCTCGCATCTGTGCGACGACTCGGAGAGGCCGCAACAGCTTCGCAACGAGTACGGCCTTGTTCCGTCGCGAAGCGAGACCGGGCGGCCCGTGAGTGACTAAATTGACCATTGTGCCGATTTCGGGGTACAGTCACCAAGTTGAGGAAGAAAAACATCTACAGTTCATAAAAAACAACGGTTGCCCGTCATCTGAAAAGTTTACCTGGTTACGAAATGAAAGCCCTTGACTCGATTCACAATGCAATTTCATATTAGTCACATTTTTGCCCGTGGCGACAAGGGCAAATGTGGCGAAATGCCTTAAACACGTTTCACGCACATGCCGCTCGCCTACCTGGTGTTCTTGAAATGTGCACCGACTGTATGAAAATTCCCCAAGCTTTGATTTTTGTTTCGATTCAATTCACTTGATCGTGCTGTTGTTCTGAAGAACTGTATAGCCTTTGGTGCCTCGCTCTGCCCCAGCGAAAGTTTTTTTTTTTTGTTCACCACCCACTGAACACCCCTCTTCCTCCCCTTCTTCGTTCTTCCATTCTCAGATTCTCAACTCTGAACTGAGGGCGCCTTCCTGAGATGGGGCCCCATCGATTTGCAGCGCCATTGGTCCAGCGTGGCAGAATAAGATATTGGTCACACCTACCACACGTGCCATGCGACGGGAGACGATTAGGGCGAAAAACAAGGGAGAATTGATGCCACCACTCACATGCGTCTGCATCGAACGTTCATGCGACAGTTTCCAACGGCCACATGCTCTGGGGAGACGGTCGAAACCACACTGGGAGGGAATTGATAAACCATTTAGGGTTCTCACTGGAATTGCATTGTGCTATTGGTATGCGCGCAGGATGATGTTACAGTTTTTTGGTTCCGTGACAGTCTAGCTGTCGTTCTGACGTCCGGGGGCAGGAAAAGTTGACGTGAGGGAGGATCGCACAACCCTCAGCTCCCAACTCACGCGACGTCCATAGTCGCCCCCCTTGCTGCCATGCCACGGACACGTGCTCTGGGCACTATTGTTGGGGGAACTTCGGATGGGGCCCCATCTCAGGAAGGCGATCTGAGTTGCTCCTACTCCAGAGCCTCTTGAATGAGAGGCTCATCTTGCGTTTTTCTCCCAAACCGCAGTCGCCTCTCCCTCCAATCCCGCCATCGCCTCTCCCTCCTTCCCAGCCGCCGTCGCCGCTTCTTCCCATCCCGCCATCGCCTCTCCCTCCTCCCCGCTGTCACCTCGCCCTCCCTCCCCGCCGTTGCCTCTCCCTCCTCCCCCGCCGTCGCCTCTCCCTCCTCCCCGCCGTCGCCTCTCCCTCCTCCCCGCCGTCGCCTCTCCCTCCTCCCCGCCGTCGCCTCTCCCTCCTCCCCACCGTCGTCGCTTCTTCCCATCCCGCCGTCGCCTCTCCTCCTCCCCGCCGTCACCTCTCCCTCCTCCCCGCCGTCTCCTCTCCTCCTCCCCGTCGACGCCTCTCCCTCCTCCCCGCCGTTGCCTCTCCTCCTCCCCGCCATCGCCTCTCCTCCTCCCCGCCGTCGCCTCTCCCTCCTCCCCGCCGTCGCCTCTCCCTCCTCCCTGCCGTCGCCTCTCCCTCCTCCCCGCCGTCGCCTCTCCCTCCTCCCCGCCGTCGCCTCTCCCTCCTCCCCATCGTCGCCTCTCCCTCCTCCCCGCCGTCTCGCAAGAGCGGGTTGGTGCGCCAGCGCGGGTTGGTGCACCAACGCGTATTGTTTTCTGAGACAACGTAATTATCAGGTGCGTTCCCAGTCCTTTCATCCCCCCTCCCCCCGCTGAAATTTCCTTCATTCTCTGCTCTCTTCGTAATCTTTGTGTGTCCATTGGTCTCTTCTTGCATTGCACTTTCATTTCAAGAAGGGTTGAGACGGAGCGCGAGGGAGAGCGTGTGCACGGGAGCGAACGCGCAGGAGAGAGCGCAGGAGAGAGTGCGTGAGAGAGAGCGTGAGAGAGCGCATGAGAATGCGCGTGAGAATGCGCGTGGGAGACTGCGTGAGAGAGCGCGTGAGAGTGTACGTGAGAGAGCGCGTGAGAGTGCCCGTGAGAGAGCTTGTGACAGTGCGCGTGAGAGAGCGCGTAAGACTGCGCGCGTGAGAGTGCGCGTGAGAGAGCGCGTAAGAGTGTGCGCGTGACAGTGCGCGTGAGAGAGCACGTAAGAGTGCACGCATGACAGTGCGCGTGAGAGAGCGCGTAAGAGTGCGCGCGTGAGGGTCCGCGTGAGAGAGCGCGTAAGAGTGCGCGCGTGAGAGTGCGCGTGAGAGGCTAGGTGAGAGGCCGCGTGAGGGGGCATGTGAGAGGGCATGTGAGAGGGCATGTGAGAGAGCGCGTGAGAGCGCTTGAAAGTGCGCGTGAGAGAGCGTGTGAGAGCGCGTGAGAGAGCTTGTGACAGTGCGCGTGAGAAAGTGCGTAAGAGTGCGCGCGTGAGAGTGTGCGTGAGAGTGCGCGAAAGAGTGCGCGCGTGAGAGTGCGCGTGAGAGAGTCGGTTAGGGAGCGCGTGAGAGTGCGCGTGAGAGAGCGCGTGAGAGTGCCCGTGAGAGTGCGCGTGAGAGCGCGTGAGAGTGCCCGTGAGAGAGCGTGTGAGAGCGCGTGAAAGAGCGCGTGAAGGTGCGCGTGAGAGAGCGCGTAAGAGTGCGCGCGTGAGAGTGCGTGTGAGAGTGCGCGTGACAGAGCGCGTGAGAGAGCGCGTGAGGGAGTGTGTGAGAGCGCGCGAGGGAGTGCGTGAAAGTGCGCGTGAGACAGCTTGTGACAGTGCGCGTGAGAGAGTGCGTAAGAGTGCGTGCGTGAGAGTGCGTGAGAGAGAGTCGATTAGGGAGCGCGTGAGAGTGCGCATGAGAGTGCGCGTGAGAGTGCGCGTGAGAGTGCGCGTGAGAGTGCGCGTGAGAGTGCACGTGAGAGTGCGCATGAGAGTGCGCTGGCGCCTTTTCTGCTATGCACTGACGCCTTGTGCAATGCATGTGAGGTGTACTATTTGTTTTTTGCTTTCTTGTGCAGGGAGGGTGAATTTTATTTTCTGCTTGGTAATCTTATCAGGGAGGGGGGGATGGAGGGTAATGGGGGACAAGTTAGCGATAGTTTATTAATGGCTGAACTTCTTTGGCTATGATTGCATGCTTAGTAGCTGTATGTTTCTGCGTCTTTTGTGTACGTATGTGTGAGCCTGTATGCGTGTGAGTGTGTGTACATGTATGTAGTGTTGTTTGTGTCTGTTTCAGGGTGAGTTCTGCTAAGTGCCTTGTGTATGCAATTGGGGTTGTGATCGTTGGTGGGGCAGCTTTGCTTGCCTCTTCCATACCAGATCAATTTCAGTTGCATTAACGATGCATTTTATCAGTAGCTTCGAAGCATTCATAACTGCTGTTGTTTGTGTCTGTTTTGGGGGTGTGGGGTGGTGCAACGTGGGTTGTGATCGTCGGTGGGGCAGCATTAATCGCCTCTTCCGTACAACTTTGCATGTTTTTTTGTGTTTTTTTAGAAGTTTGCCTATGCGTGTGTTTCCGTACCGTTATGTCCAATTCTTCCATTCGCCGTACTTTTCGACGATTATGGATGATTTGACACATTTGTTTCCAGTTTTCGGGTAACTTTTGTGAACAGTAATTTTCCCCGTTTTTTGGAGGAAAATCATTGTTCACATCAGTCAACCGGAAAGTGAAAAAGGATGTATAAGGTTGCTACGCAACCCAATTAACAAACAGTTCCAGAAAGATCCTTGCGCGACAGTTTATCAGGTAGCCAGAATTTCGAGAATTCTCAAGCCTTTCGAGCATGCTGGGGCGCCCCAGGGCACGCGTGCCAGGACGAGGCGATGCACCGGGCTCCCGTGTGCGTGGAAGCTTCAAAACCCGGTGCACCGCGATGCATCAGGGCATGCCAAGGCGTTCTGCACCACGTCTTTAGAATACCTAAGCAGGTACCTGCTCTACAAACACGTATTTTTGTCCTAAGACAGTTCTGATGGCTCTCACAGCAAATCCAGGTGAACATCTCGAGATTGTCACAATCATTGATGTTTTCTGTGCGCATTCGTTCTTTGACGTTGCGAAGCTGACCTGTTCAATAAGAAGTGAGCATTGGGGATGGGTGGGTCTAATAAGGACGTGGCCCAGACCGCCTCTGATTGCCTCGATCAGAGGCGATCAACAACTTCCAAGAAGCCCCAAGGCCAATTTCAGGCAATCAGGGGCAATCAACTGATCGCGATCAAATGATCGCCCCAACTCGATCAACCGCCTAAAACACCCCAATCAGTCACGATCACACACAATCAGTCGCGATCAGTTGATTGCATGTGATTGGGGATCTTGGCGACACTTGCGAAAAGGTTACAGTTTCTTGTTTAGCTCGTCAAGCTGTCGTGCAGGATTTCGTTAAGTGAAATTTGCGACATTACATGGAAACGATAAATTCGCTACGTTTTCGTTATCGCCAAAATGGGGACGAAAGGATAAGGAAATGCTGACGCGCCTGCCGAGCAATCGCCTTAAATTTTCTAGGAATAACAGCACTGATCGGGCGGCGCGAGCAATGCAATCACAAGCAACCCGATCAGATCAGACCCGATCAGATCAGTGCCGATCAGAGGCGGTCTGTGCCACGTCCTAAATGTGCTTGTATGGCGTGTGTGGGAACCCTACCCCATTTATTCCTCGGTTCGAAGAGCCCAATGGACTCTTGACAGAGGAAGCCGTCAATCAACCGTCAAGCTAACCAGCGTGGCGTGCCTTGAATGGAGAATGGCATCAACATTTTTTGTTCAGGGAGACTTCGAGGTGGCATGCACGCGTTCCACTTGTTCTACCCGAAAAAAAAATACTTTCAACACCCCGACCAACCTTTTACGTGTATGGCCATGTGTAGTTGACGGCATCGAGGAAACGGAGCACCGGGCTCTCCTCTCCTGGAATCAGGTGAAATCTGTACCCCCTCCGCCACCCCCGCTCACGCTCTAGAAGACACAATCCCTGCCCATTGGGCTGACCAGCCCCATACTTTGCGCGGCTCGAACACACCAGTCCATCATCAAAGGTTCATACGCCCGGACTACAGTAAAACACGGGCGAATGCGGGATCGCTTCCGCGTGCTTAACCCGCACCATTCCCTCGACTCTTCCCCACCAGCCATCAATCTCCCCCAACAAGACCAGAATCCAATAGGGTGATTACCTTTGAGTAAGTAACATATTAGTAGCTCTGTCTGAATTTGGTACCAAGCCACCTTGATTTCATCGGGAGTGTGTGCGTGCTTTCGGGATACACAAAATATCGTAAGTGTGCACATGAAAAGGAACCTCACGCCCAAAAGCCTTTCCAGCTACTTTGTGAGAAGTGTCCCACGAGTCGCTAACTTCAGCCACTGTTGTATAGGGGGAACTGTACCCTTTCTCGAATAATCCGCTCTTCAGGGGTTTCCATAATTCCTTCCAATACTGCACCGAGTAATTTCAAATTTCCAATCGAGTCTCCCAGGCCAGGCGCTTGTGAGCGCCCCCTTGTCCTCCCCTCGACAGCTGCCCGTGTTTCGAGTTCAGCCCGTGATGCCACCTGCACTCCTCTCCAACCCCCACTTCCTTGCGTTGGCTCAAATTCGCCTTCGCCAACTTCACACACCATTATTGATGGGTTTGCTTCGCTGACAACATTGAGGCACCCATATTGCCTGATTTACTTTTTTCCAGAATACCATCCAGTATTTTCCAGTTCCTTCTCTTATCTTTCCTTCTTCTTTGTCTCTCTCAGCAACCATGGCTTTTAGCTTCCGTAGCTGTTTCGCGAATTGTTTCGTCTTCATCCTCACCGTCCTTCACATCATCGTCCTCGCCGGATCCATCGCAGCCGTCGCTCTCATCTTCGTCATCCGACCCAATCCCACCTTCCCAGCCGGTTGGGGCTTCATACTCGTCGGAGCCATCACCTTTCTCGCCGGAGTCTTCGGCGTTTTTTTCTCAGGCCGATTCGGCTGCTGCGGGATTCACCTCCTCCTGCACGCGCTCTCCATCGCCGGAACATGCGCCACGGGCATAATCGCCGTGGTGAAGCCTGACACACTCGTCGGCGACATGCAAGCAACCATCGACCTGGATAAGGCCCACGATCTCGTGATCGTCGAAGGCGGGATCATGCTCGCGCTTTTCATGCTCCAGCTCGTGTTGATTATCCTCACGTGCTGCGCGCAGTCCTGCGGATGCTTGGATGTGGGATACGAGGAGCTTGACTCTGCATCGGCAGCAAAAAAAGCGGCAGCTGAGTCGATTAAGGAGGAGCAGCGCCGCGCGCGGATTGAGTCGACGAGCGCGCACCAGCTGGCGCAGAAGATGAAAGAGAAATACGGGATGGTGGCCGGAGGCAGCAAGAAATCGGATTACGATATTGAGAAATAATAACCTGAGCTGCCGCAGACTCCGGCGCGGGCCGACGATTTGCAGCTGAGTCGTTGGTGTTAGGGAGCTGAGGAGCGGGTCTCTAGCTGGGTTGCCAGAACGAAGTACCCGTTGGGATTTCCGGCTCTTAAATTCCCTTCCGCGCGTCGCGATGGTTCGCTTTCTGCATCATTCCTCTCTGTAAAGTCCCCTCCGCTTCGTCCGCCGTACTTCCCGCTTTCTCCTTTCCGCGACAAGCTTAGCCCTGCACGCTTCGCCCTGCACGCCTTTTCCTGCCCGTGTCGCCCTGCTCCGTCCCCTCTGCAAGCCGTTTGCCGCTGACGCCATCACCCCACCCGCACATCGGCTGCTGGCCGGTTAGCAATGAATGCTGGTGGACGTTTGGCCTGCGGAGAATGCGTAGCCTGTGATGGTGACCATGTGGTTGTGTGTGTGCGCTCTGATGACTGCTGTTGTCATAGATTCACATCCCACAGTCCAGTGACGCAAGGCAAGGCAGTGCTGTCGGTGCCTTCAGTGCTCCATCTCCCTGTGTTCCCACTCACTTGGTAGACTGCGTAAACTGGCTTGCCTCTTACACGGGTACCATGCTTCATTACCGTAGTTTAGGGCTTCAGCTCCATTCTTTTAGCGCCACAATTCTGTCGATTTTAATTGTGCAGTGCACTCAAACACTGTAGGTTTCATCCTGTGCTGGAGAAAGAGATTGTTGATGGTACCAGTGCACAAACGTCTGGTGGGGGTAAATGTCTGAGAGGGCATGCACAACAGGTTTTACTGAACACACCACAGTAGCTGGGAAACATCTGTGTCACAAAATTTGTGCACCTACAGGAACATACCATGGCCGTCCGGGTGTATCATTTAAGCAACCCTGAGGCAACTCCAGAGAATCATGCATGCAGTATCAGCTAGAATGTACACCTCATGACATCTAGTGCGCCGGCTGCTCTTGTCATCATCTGGGGCGCAGTATCTTTCCTCGCCGTGCTAGGTTGCCTGCCTCATACACCATGTAGTTAGTAAGCGCGCGAGTTGCACTGGAGTGGCAGAGAGGAGGGGTGGGTGGAGGGGACGGTGGGGAAAGGGGGGAATGAAGGGAGAAATTTGTTCGTGGAAAAGTGCCAGGATTAGCAACAAGAAGGGAGGAGTCTCGGGAGAGGATAGGAGAGTGCAAGAATGAGAGGCAGAGAAAGGAAGACCGTTGGGAAGAGGGAGTATAAGTAGCCACCCCTCGACGGACAAAGGCGTAATAGAGCATACTGGCTGAGTAAGTGAGGGTGTCTGCACTGGCCAACAGGAATCGGTGAATACGAGAAGCAAGCAACGACAGGGTCTATCACTAAAATGCCTAACGCACGCACCATCGGAGCACACAACAAGAGCAACACAGCACACAAGAACACTACATGGAGCAACGTTGAGCAGCAGCACAGCACTAAGAAGCACCGAGCCTACCTCTCCTTGAGCTCTGCAATCTTGGCGGGGTCTGTCTCGTGCATGTGCTTCCTGAACTCACTGCGAATGTGCTCCCGCACAGCTGGCCCGCGGCCCCTCTGATGCAGCCAGGCAGACGTGAGGCACGCAGGCAGGCGGACGGACGGGGAAGCAGGCAGGCAGGCAGGCAGAGAGGGAGGGCGGAAGTCAGAAAAAGGTGCACCTGAGTGGTTTCGCATGGTGGCTGCGGGCTGTACCATGTGCTGTGCAACCAGGGGTTTAGTGATGCAAAGACAAGCAGGGACCTGATTTCATAGAGAGCACTTGTGTGAACATGCGACCAAGCGGATTGGAAGAGGCGGGGAGGGGGAAGGTGGGGGTGGGGGGAAAGAGAAGCAAAAGCAAGAATAGAATGGAGGATAAGGTGGGGCGGAAGGAGCAGAGGATGGGGGAGAGGGAGAGGTGGAAGGAGGAGAGGTGGAAGGGGGAGAAAGTGGGGACGAAGGAAGAGTCGCACCGAGTGAGTGAGGTAATCTGCCATGCGAAGACAGTCACGGTATAGCTGCTCAGGACACCATCACAGCCGTCCATACGCCATCATAGCCGTTCACACATCACCACAGCCGTCCATACACCATCACAGTCGTCCACACATCAACACCATCCCAGCCGTCCATAGCCCTCTTCAAAGCCACCCTTGCAGACCTCACACGGATAACCACCACCACCCACACGCACGGGAGGAGAGCGTGGGGAAGCACACGGGTGGAGATCGGAACATTGATTGGGCAAAGCGCAGCGACGCGGAGCAAAGGGAGAGCAGGACGGGAGCGGGAGATGCGGGACTGATAGAGGGACAGAGTACGCGAGAGCGAGAGGGAGAGCGAGCAGAAAGAGAGTGAGCTAGATCGATCGGTTGCGGAACAGAGAGCTAGGGTGACGGAGAAGAGCACGAGTGCGACGGATGAGAGTGACGGGAGCAAGAACGGGTGAGAGTAGCGAAAGAGATGCAGGGACAGTAGCGAGCGGCAGCACTCACGCGGACGACGTTCTCCGCGACGTGAGCGGGGACCAATCGCGGTAGGCCCGCCATGGCTGCAACGGGAGCAGGGATCTACGGTCCGACACGGTCTGATATGGTCTGTGTGGTATTGGTTGTGTCGAATTACTGCTGGGTTGGCGCGTGGTGGACGTCTTGTAGCTCGTTTGCTGGTGACGCGCTGTAAGTCTCGGAATCTGCATCGACGAACACTTTCGTTATGCACCCGAGAAACTTTCCTTTACCATTGATGTACATTGTGGCAAAACTTGCATCACACATATCTATGCACAGCCAGAGCTAATGCTTCTGGGAAGCATCACACAACAGAACAAAGGCAACAAACAACTAAGGCACAGCATCAAAACAACGGTTGCATGGAATCAACTAAATGTAGCGATGCAAGGGGGCCACCAAATTTAGCTTCAGCCAACTAGGGAATACGGTATGTCAGCACAGGCCATCCCAGCACCCACACACGCACAAGTGCCGTAATCAGGCTACGATAACCCCGAGGGGATGGACGAGATTGTTAAGGCTGGGTGCCCGCTAGCGCGGGACAGAGGAATAAGACTCCCACCAGTGCATCCACCCGACTGCTGCGACTGACACAAGGGAGAAACATCTTGTCGTAACACCCCAGGTGCAAACGGCAACACAGTCTCAGCAACAGCAAGCGGAAGCCCACGAGTCCCTCCAGGTACTCCCAAACCCGAGCCTGCGAGACCATACAGGCCGTTACCCGAGCCTGTGTAGTCATCTGTAACAGACGGAGAGTCAACCGATACAGTGGTGGTAACCGGGTTGGTGTCAGCAGTCTGAGTCTGCTGGTTAGACTGCACTGTAGACGCACTGCCAAGCCCTGGGCCGTCTCGGTACACTTTGGAGCGCTGATTGTTGACGGAGCCCTGGTTGTTGATGCTGCCTGCGTTCTTCTCCTGCTGGTACATGGTGTTGCCTGACCCGGCGAGCACCTGCTTCTGGCTGCCACGGAAGGGATGGCCTCGGAGCAGTGGTTGTGACTGGAGCAGTGGTGCTAGCGGTTGGATCGACGGCTGCAAAGGGGAAGGAGGTGAGAGAGAGATAGAGAGTGGGAGGGAGGGAGGAAAGGGGGGGAGGGGAGAGAGGCGGGGAGAGTGTGTGTGCATGTGTGTGTGAGAGAGGGTGCGAGAGAGAAAGGTAGGAAGGAGAGTAGGAGAGAGCAAAGGGGGGGGGGAGGGGGGAATGAGGGAGTGAGGGAATGAGGTTTATTTACGAGGTGTGCTACTGCACCCAGCATGCAAGGCGAATAAGGGTTTGACTAAGGCATTGAAACGTGAGAAATCACGAGCTTGAGAAGAAGCAACCTTTAAGGGCGCATTCCCGACCTCGTGTCATCCGGCGTTGGTGTCATCCGAAAACTTTGGAACTCACGCGATTGGCCCAAAGTTCACAACAGGCCAATCATGTGCGTTCCAAATTTTTCGGATGACACCAACACCGGATGACACGAGGTCAGGAATGCGCCCTAAGTGTACTCATAAGGAAAAAACACCCCGGCAAATCATCACCAGCCCAGAACATCTCTCGCCTCATGCTAGCCCGCCTCACATCATCCCCGTCTCCCTCACCTCAACGGCCGTAATCGGATACAAGCCATCAGACAGCAAGCTCTTCCAAAGCGCTGCACTCCCCGCACTTCCCGCTGCTGTTGCTCCACACAGCGGCACTAGGAGGGAGAGCCCTAGACGCAGCAGGAGAGACGGAGTCATAGCAGCGTCTTACATGAGTGACCTGCCTGGGAGACTAGCGTCTGTTTGCGTAGCTTAATTACTGAAAGGGGTTTCGGAACGGCGACTCGCTAATAACGAGGAGGCGGAGACGAAAGGCATCAGCCAGCCCAATCGGACAGCATTCCCTTGCTGGGACTGCGGCCAGATCGTCCCCATGCCGTTGTGATTGTCGAGACTCCTTGCGATGAACGTGAGATATTACAAAAACACAACGTAAGTCGCCCGTTCCGTAGCTTCACACCAGGATTTGTGCGTGTAATGAAGCTGTCACCCGAGCACAGATCCTGGTGAAGCGCATGGAGCAACAGAGCTGCAGTAGCTTTTGAACTGGAAGCAGACCTTTGCTCGCGTTCCATTCGAGGCAAGCTCCAGCAGGCCCCATCCCGCTTCGCTGCAGCGCTTAGAAGATCCGTTAGTAGAGTGCAGGAAACGTTTCTCAGTCCCATTGGAAATACAACCCCAGTCACACTAGAACAAAGCAACCACATGCAGCTATTTCTGGTAATGTTCCATACAAATTACGACAGAAACAGTTATGGATCCATTTAAATTTTAATGCGCTTGCTGAAACAGGATTCGGGTGTTAGTGTGGATCTTGCACAAATAGGTGCTGCTGTTGCAAGAGGTCGAGATAGTGGATTCTGCACTGAAGTTCTGTAGTTTGCATTGTACGAGCGGACCGGAGCACGAATAGTCTTATAGCAAGTACAGACACATGGTGAACACGGCATTTCCGGAGATGGCGGAGCACTACATCCATGCAGGCGAGCGCGCTTCGCGTGGTCAACATTGAAGAGAATGACAACATCGCAATTCTTTTCACACAATTCCCTCCCCCTCCCCCAAGAATGCATCCATTTCACGAGGGGCATAATTACCAGAACAGGTAATTCGTTTCGACTCCACTAGAGCGTTTTCATTTGGCTTACTCAGAAATCCTCGAATCCTTCTCAAATTCGTAAACATTCGCAAAGATGCAGACAACGAGCGAGAAAGAGCAGCATGAAGCAGTTCGTCAAGAGGTGGAAAAACTAGGAGGTGGCGCAGAGCAGGTGAGGAAGGTGTTAGCGTAGTCACACTGAGGCAAGCAGGTCAAATCTTCAGGCACTCCTTGCTTTGCATCCAGATCTTTGGTAATCCGAAACCGGTATTTTAGCCATTTTACTTCCAGCGGTATGTGAAATTGACCCTTTCCTTCAGTTATTCTGTTAGTACTGCTGCATCCTACTGTGAATCTCAGAAACACGAGGTTGCAGGCAAGCCGATCACCCCACGAGATGCTGCTGAAGCCAAGTCGGAAGCAATTAAAGCTGGCGAGCCAACAGGCAAGGGAAGCCTGCCAGCACGAATGGAGGTAAATTGCAATTTTTTATTACTGGGTGCCTTAGGTAACAGTAGATACGCGATCATCAGTAAACCAGCGCGCTCACTTAGGTCAGTCCCTAATTTTCGTCAAGTCAATGCTTTCATCACATTCACATGTCTCAGGCACTCGGTGCTCCTGTGTTGCTTGCCCTCACGCTTACCATGCATTTTTTCACTCCTTTCCGCCCTGTACAGGCAGCAGCAGCGTTCAATGTAAGGGAGCACGTGGTGCCGCCTGTGGGGACCAAGGAGGCGGGCACAGAGCGGGATACTCGTGGAGGCAAGGGTGAGGGCCAGGTCGACCACCGCCACATAGAACATGGCGGGAAAAGATATGCCTAGGAGTATGGATCCTTGCCGTTGGATTGTCCACACCACGTGATTGCTTGCATCTGCCAGTGATGTTGGTTGAGTGGTCGACTGACTGGTGGTGGGGGGTAGATGTGTGGTGCTGAAGTGAATATGCTGATGTGTGGTTATGAATCTCTGAAACAGCAGCATTGTAAATTAGAAGTTGCCGCATTGTTTTGTAAGAAATAGCATATCATAATACAAACATAATACAGACAGTCACACACTGCCAAAAAGGCATGAACATCGATCTGCTTGGCTTTTGCCAATCAGTGGAGGTTAGTTCTCGGTCCGAGTTATTCACTCCTAACTCGCCTCGCTCCTCCCAGCTATTAGCTCTCCACCAATGCTCCTCCCAGTACCTTTCGCCCTTCTGGTACAAAATGCATCACCTCGTTGAGCAATGCCACCAAACCTCCCTCCCTGCCTCGCGCATCAAACTTGACCTGCTGCTGTGCCCTCGCCTCCTGTAGAGCCTCTCTCGATGTGTTCTCAAGACATGCACGCAGGCATGTGGCTTAAGAGAACTGTGTAACCACCACACGGACAGGGGGATGTGCCAAGCACCAGCAGGAAGAAGTCTCACGACGGCGGCTTCAAAGGAGTGATAATGATCTGCATATACATCCCAAAAGGAAGGAAGAGGTGCATTGTTGAAGCATAAGCCAAAACAAGAAGTAAAATAGAAAAGGCTTCTGTGGAATATATCTCAACAGCATGAAGAGCTCACATGCATGTATTTCAGAATCTTAAGACTGGCTTCGTAAGACATACACAACATACAACCATTCTCCATACGCATGTCGTCAATCCCGACTCCCAACCTTCCCCCAAACCTATTTTCACACATCGTTACATGCCCACCTTCTGGTTAGCAGCCTTGCAGTGGCTGTAGAGGCCGGATACGAAGTAGGTAGTGCTGGTGATGGGGTTGGTAAAGCATCCCTGCCCGCCTCCGTCCGTGCCGTTACAGTACGATACGTAATTGGTGTAGACGCAGTTGTTATAGTCCCTCAGTGTTGGTACAATGTACACCTCATCCTTGTAAGGCGGATACTTGAACACTGGAGGGGAAAATCAGGGGAACGAGGTTCAAACTTGTCAGAACTGGATGCATGTCACAAATAAATTCCAGAGAAAAAAACACTTCCAAAAGTATTACCACCCAATCCTTCCACACTAACCGGCACCCTCCTCATCTCAACGTAAACCTTATTCGTCACTCACCCAGCGTGTCGCCCACGTAAACCTTATTCGCGTTCGCCCACTTCACCAGCTGCGCCTCGGGATTCCACTGCCACGCGAACTGTTCCGACATGTACCCCACCACGAGCGTGCGCGGAGAATACGGGCGCGCGGAAGCCTTCACCACGAGCTTCTGCCCCGCCTTGCAGTGGCCGTACAGCCCCGACGCGTACATGCCCGGCACGGCGGTCACCCGGATGGCGCACCCGTTTGCGCCCGCGCCCCACGAGTCGTAGCAAATGATTTTGGCCGCGCGGAAGTTGCACGATTTGAAGTCTGCCAAAGTTGAAAACTGAACCACCTCTTCCTGGAACGCTGGGTATTTGAAAACTGCGGACACGAGGGAAGTGGAGGGCGAAAGAAGGCGCAAAGGCAAAAAAAAAAAAAAGCACGGAGTTGGGAAAATGATTGGGGATTTTTTTTGGCAAAGTTACTCCAGGCCGTGTTGTGCAACTCGCATCCAGCACGTACCCACGAAGTCTCCCGCGTAGAGCTTATTGGCCGCAATCCACGCGTTGTAGTTCACGGCCGGGTTCCACGGGTAGTTGTACCCGCCGGCAGCTGCCCCCACGATCACCCGCCGCCCGCCTGCTGCGGCGGTGCTCACGAGGGATGGCGCTTCGGGCGGCCGCCATAGCCGCCCGGGTAGGTCTAGACTGCTGTTGGCCTTTTTACTGCTTCTGCTGCTGCTGTTGTTGTTGCTGCTGCTGCTGACATTCACGCTGCGAATGCTGCTTATGCTGCTGCGACGACGATGCATGGACGGCGAGCTTGTGCTGTCGTTAACACTCTCGCTGTCCGTGCTGCTACTCCCCTCGCCCCCGTGCGAATCAGCGCTGACGTCTTCCGAACCACTTTCTCGTGGTCGTATCACGACCTGTGAAAGGCAAGAGCAACCGACAGTTTGACATTAGTTCTATTCAGAGTACGGCAATGCAAAAGTCAACGCTTAAACGCACCGGCCCCGTTGTCCGTCCCATAATCACAACAACTCGCGCAGTCAGCAATCAGTCAGAGACGACAAGCTCACCCTTTGTCCCGCGCGGCAGTGATCAACCTTTGACGTTAAGTAAAGCGTACGTGACTCGACGAGCACGCGACATCCCCTCACGTGTCCACCTCGGTCGCTGCTCCTGCCGCCCTCGCCGTCCAGTGAGTCGCACAGCAACCGCGCATCGTCCAGGCGACAGTCGTCTAAGTCGCCCTGCGACGGAACTTCGTACACAACTTCTTCGCCTGACTCGTATTGAAACACTGTAATGAGAGGAGCGCGACAGAAACAGTGGAAAGGACGCAATAAGTGGGATGAAATTTTAATTGCATCAGCAACTGCTGAACGCATTGGAAATAAATGATGAGAAGAAATGATATGCATGGGGCAAAGAGTTAAAGGGACAAAGTAGAGAATGCAATAATGGCAGCAGTACAGTGAGAAAGTTGCGCATGGTCGGACTCTTTCATAGACAATCGCCGAACATTTGAAGTCGAGAACTTGTCAAAGCTACGAAGGTCGTATTTCTCGTGTTTGTTTCTGTATTATTGATGTTTTATATCATATTGGGTGCAAGCGACAACTACACACGCGACGAACGCAGGAGAAAGAGAAGCACCTACCCAGGGTATCGCCTGCAATGACAGGGAAGGTAGCCGCCCATTGAGTGTAGTTCACGACAGGATTCCACGGGTAGTTGAAGCCGTCTATATGCCGTTGACCCACGATGACGTGGCGCCCGAGAGAGGGAGTTAGGAAGGAGAAGACAGTCAGAGAGAGGAGGAGCAGCGTTTGGTAGTGGTGGAGGGAGAGAAGAATGGACGATTGAGGGCAGGGGAGTGAAGGAGAAGCGCGGCGGCGGCGCAGTCGAGGCGGTTTTTGCGGGAGCATGGCGGCGGCGACAGATGGAAGTCGGGACGCCTTTGACTGCTGCGGCGGCGGTCGCTGGGTCATGCTGGTTTTCGATGAAAGGCCGTTAAGGGAGGGATCGGATGGGCGGTCTAGGTTCTCTGGTGACAAGCCTACGCTAGCGGACGTTAATCTCTCGTTAGGTTCGTCCAAGTGATCGCATCTGCATCTTTCATTATCGCGTACGACGGTCGGTGGGGTTTCGCTCCTAGGTAGAGGTCGTTCCGCCATCTCTGTAACGATCGGGCAATGCTCTACTCGTGCTAACAGTACCTCCTCGTCAAGTGCGCGCCATCTCGACACTTGATTTTCACGATTTCGCATTTCCGGTGAAGCAGCACTGGCATTGCAAGACTAGGCATACAGAGGTGATGGCTGGCAGTTCCGCAGCACAGAATGACAAGGGACGAAACCTGCGACCGACGGAAGAGGGTGCAAGAAATGGTGGAGTGGGTGGCTGATTGGGGTGCACTGGCAGAAAGTGCTGTGGCTGTGAGCATTGCCGACGGTGCTTGCTCACTTGCTCCCGTAGGGATGGCCCGCTCGGCATTCCACGACGAAGGCGAACATCCACCTGCGAACCGCGCATCAACCACGTACGAGCCGCGTCTTTCAATGTGGAATGCTTCCGACAAGAGGGCGCGGCGGGGAATCGTACAAGACGAGCGACGTGGCAAAAATGCTTGCATCGTGGTAGAGTTACCATCCAGGCGAGCTTCGCAGCACTCCAAACAGTGGAATGTTGGATTCAAGGGCTGGGGCAGTTGCGTGAGACTGCAGGGCCGCATGGGGTGGTTGACGTGGGCAAATGTCGGCGCGCTGTCAGTTGCAAGGCACACGAACCCTGCAAGATGGAAGACTTCAAGACACTGATTTTTTAAAAATAAATTTGTGGAGTACATACTAATCGTGATTTGTACAGTATAAACATCTTATGTCCACTCCTGAAACAACATAGCTTGATTCTTCGTTAAAGAGCACGTAAAATTAATGAATAGATCTCAGATATTTCAGATATTTAAAGTTTAAATATTTAACTTCCTGCAAGAAATAAATAGATTAGTCTCATCCGGTCATTATTATTTTTTTTGGCAAGTGTAGAATGTAGTTTGAATTCAGCATCTCTGCTTAGCGCGTGCATCACTGTACTCGCCACACTCGCTGTTGCGATCAGAAGGTGATCGCTCCTAGGATCTCCTCGGGAAGGTTCGCACACAGCTTGGTAGTGTTGGTGGGCCCTTGACCTCAATAGTGTTGGGCTAAGAAAGCCCTTAGGATCTTTGCAAGACTAAACTCTTGGTAGAACTGATGTAATAGCACAAGCGTTAAATGAAGAGTTGTGAACCACCTTGCGCTAGTATGTGAGGGCAAAGTAGATTAATTAATAACAAAGAGATACAAGCTTTTATAAGAGTACAAGGGAATATGAAGGGTTATAACTAATAACCGTTTTACTATTGCTGTTGCGGTTCGATACAGTGACGACTCGGGCAACTGCTTAATAGCGAGTCAGTTGTTTGTCCTTGATGTCGCGCTGTATTTGTCAGGTCAAAGGTCGCTGACCATTGACTTTCGCGTAACCTCCAGCAGTTGTTCAACCTCCGAGGGTTGACTCGCTGATGCTTCGATATGTTGTGCTTCGCTTCTGACTTGGTGTTTCGACACGACAGAGGCGCTTAAGTTAGTTGTTTCCAACACTCCCCTTCGAATCTGGAGTGTCGCTGCTGGTGACGTGGCTCTGTCCAGTCAGCAGCATGCAGCACTCGAACTTCTGCTTTCCGAGCTTCTTGGTCAAGTAGTCAGCTGCCATTTCGGATGTAGGGCAGTATGACAACTCGAGTCTCCCCTTCTCGATCTCGTCTTTCACGAAGAAATATTGCAGGGCGATATGCTTTGTCTTGTTCGCGAATCCGTTTTTGTTGGCTATGCGAATTGGCGACTGGTTGTCGCAGAACAGAGTGAAGCTGGGTAACTGAGCCAGCTTCGCTTCCTCCAAGAGTTCGCGAAGGTACAATCCTTCCTTGGTGGCTGAGCAGAGTGCGATATATTCTGCTTCTGCTGAGGAGAGAGCGATTAATTCCTGCTTGCTCGACTGCCACGAGATAGGACCGATAGGTTCGAAGCGGTAGATGTTGCCGGTGCGGGAGCGCCTGTTGTCGGAGTTGCCGGCGTGATCGGCGTCGACGTAGCCGATTAGCTTAGGAGTCGTGGTTCCGTTTTTGTGGTAGGTTAGGCCGACGGTTGGGGTGCTGACGAGGTAGTGGAGAGCGCGGTCGAGTTCTGCCAAGTGATCCGCTTCAGGTTTCTTGAGGTAGGTGGCGAGCTGGCTTGCGGAGTATGATAGATCCGGACGGCACGTAACAGCTGTGAAGAGAAGGCATCCTAGCTTTCTCTGGTAGTCGCGTATGCCACCGGGCTTTAGTGGAGCGGATCCTTCCTTGTGGTTTCCTGCCGTGTAGCGATATGGCGTGGAGATGGTGGTCGGCGTGAGAGCGAAGCGTTTGGCGATGGTGTCGGCGTATTTCGCGGCGTTGAGGTAGATCACGTCCTCCTCTTCCCGTATGTTGAGCCCGAGATATTGCGTAACGGTAGACGAATCCGTGAGTGTGAGGTCTTGTTGTAGCTCCCCTTCGAACCAGGTAGTGACACCGTCGGTTGACTCGATGTAGAGTAAGTCATCTATATAGATGATCAGCAGGATGTAATCGGTGCCCTTAGTGAGCCGGTACATGCCTTGGTCGTGAGGTAGCTGGCGGAATCCGATGCGAATGAGTCTTGCGTGCAGGTACTGCTGCCACAGCCTCGGAGCTTGTTTGATGCCGTAGAGCGATTTCAGCAGCTGACAGACTTGGTTGGGCTCTGCGTTGGAGCCGTGCGGTAGCTCAACGAAGATTTCTGCGTCGACAGGTGCGTAGAGAAATGCGTTGGCGACGTCAATTTGCCGCAACTTCTTTTTCTTCATGGCGGCGATCGCGAGGAGAATTCGCAGTGAGGTGTGTCGGCTGACCGGGGCGAATGTCTCGGTGAAGTTGCGTCCGTGCTCTTGGTCGAAGCCGCGTACGACCCAGCGCGCCTTAAACTTGTCGATGGTGCCGTCTGCCTTTGTCTTCACACGGAAGACCCACTTCCCGGTGAGTACTCTCTTGTTTCGTGCCACGCCGATGGGAACAATTTTCCAAGTGTTCCGTTCTTCCAGTGCTTTCAGCTCCTTGTCCATGGCTTCGCGCCATTTCTCCCTATGCTCCCCCCCAGAGCCTGCTGAACTGTGGCAGGCTCCTTAGGAATCGCAGTGCCATGGACCGCGGTGACGAGGCCAAGTATCTAGAGGCCACTCTGTGTGTAGCGGGGGAGTGTGGTGTCCGCAGGATAAGCTGCTTCGTCACCTGCTTCTGGGTCAGGTATGAAGTTGGGCCCTATGCGTTCTGCTTTGTTGGTGTTGACTTCTGCAGGTGTAACGTAACCGTTGTCGGCGAAATGGTAAAATACTTCGGCGTTGGCGCTTTCGCGAGGATTTTCGTCATCCATTGGGACGGCGACGGTGCAATAAGGGAGAGGTCTGGCTTCCTCCGAGGCTGCATCCACGTTCTGCTCATCCTAGTCAGCTTCGTCTGCTGCCGAGGCGAAGGCTCGGTCACCACGGAAGCCACCTGTGGGGTCGCGATCTTCTTCCAGGTTGGCAAGGTACGTCGGAAGGGTGAGTCGTTCGTATAAAAGGACATCACGTGCTGCTACTATTTCCTTGGAGTGCACGTCGAAAATTTTCCACGCGTTGTAATGTCTTTCGATGCCCAGGTGTAGTCCCCACTATGCGCGTTGAGAAAATCAGCCGGCTCGTGCAGATGGGGGTCGGTACTGTACCATGCAGCCGAAGACTCGTAACATTTTTGTGCTGCCCTGTTTTCCTGTCCAGAGCAGATGCGGTGATGCGTTGTTCAGGAGCGATGATGACGAGAGCAAGTTGTGCAGCATGACAGCGTGGTCCATTGCTTCGGGCCACTGGTGGTTGGGCAGTCGCATGCCACGTAGCAGCTTGCGCATGGTGTTCTGGAGAGTCCTGTTCATCCTTTCTGCCACACCCTGCTGTTGATGGGCGTAAGGAAGGGAGATGAGCCTCTTGATTCCCTTCTCTGCCAGGTAGTCCTTGAAGCGTTGTGAGGTGTATTCTCCGCCTCCATCTGACTGAAAGCTCTTTAGCTTCACCCCCGATTCCCGTTCTGCTGCTGGAAGCCAGGCAACGAAGGCTTCGAAGGCCATGTCGCGGCTCGGGAGATTCAGGTGCCAGACGTATCGTGTGGCGGCGTCGATGAAGGTGATGGTGTAATTGTAGGCTCCTTGTCCTGGTACGCGATTGTACAGGATATCGCTGTACACCTTTTCGAGTGGTGCGTAGGTTGGTGCACTTGGGTTGTGATGAGGGACGAACGGCTGATGCGGTAAGTTGGCTTCAGGGCAGGTGAAGCATGTTCCTTTTACTCGTTGGAGTTCTCTCCCGTCGTGTAGTAGGAGCGAATCTTTGTCGAGCACTCCTGCTCTTATAGTGTTGTTTAACGTTGTGTTGCTTGGGTGTCCCATCCTTGCATGCCAGATTTCTTCGCTGGCACGGTGTCCGGGTGAGCGCCGATACATGTCGGAGTTGGAGTAAAAACCGGTGGTGAAGTTGGTGCTTCGGTGGACTTCTCGTTGGGTTGGAGCCAGCTGTTGTGCGGGTGTCGGTGGTCTATCATCGATGAAGGCTGGTGCCGTTGAGGGGCCAGCTATTGGTGTCGTTGTTGTCGCTGCTGCTGATGTTGCTGTCTCTGCTGCTGCCGATGTTGTCTCTGCTGCTGCCGATGTTGTCTCTGCTGCTGCCGATGTTGTCTCTGCTGCTGCTGATGTTGTCTCTGCTGCTGCCGATGTTGTTTGAATTGTTGCTAACGCTCTTGTTCGTTCTGCCTCAGGGATGGTGTTCGAGTACCAGAATCCTTCGGGGCTGAAGTCGGGGT